ACGCTAATCCCGGAAATCTTATAATAAGGGATCTCAAGCAGGAGATTCGGCAAGTATTTAATAATCAATCCTCTGGCGCCACCAAGCTTTGGGCTACAGTCAAGTCACTGTCTAACCATCTTGGACCAGCTCAAATGTAGTCGTAGCTTAGCAGTCATCATAAAGGGCATTGAACACAGTGTAAGTCGCTCGGAAATAGAAAGTGCCTTGAACAACATTAAAAATAAGGCTAACATACCTCAGCCAATGTTTAGCCAGATTTCCAGCTCTTAAAAAAGGGAGAAGTTCATCCCATTAACAAACTGCGGTACCTTCTTCACCGTAGTATTTCAGTGGAAGAACCACATAAGCGAGCTGGCCCTATTCAGTGCCATAATTGTCAAGGATTTGAACATACGAAGGGTCATTGGGCTTTACAAAGTATATGTGTCATTTGTGGAGATTTACACAGTTCAAAAGACTGTATGAAACCTAAAACAACCCATGCGTCTAAAAAATGTAGCAATTTCGGTGAAAATCACACCGTCAATTATAGGGGTTGTCCAATATATATTTCCCTAAAAGGCAATGGCAGTAAAAAGGCTTCTAGCAACATTCCTGCCGCACCCTCAGCCTCAAGCTAAAGCTGCAGAAACAAAGCCAACTAACCAACTTTGTATCCTACGCCCAAGCTTTAAAAGGTGTACCTCATCTCCCAACGCAAGAAAGGTCCATCCCATCCGTTCCGTCTGTTAACTCACTTGAAAACACGCTAAACAACTTTATGCGTATGATGCAAAAACATATGACATCAATCTAAAGTATGATGCAAGATTTAATTCCAAATCAAAACCTCCTCCTTCAAGCGATTTTGTCTAGGTCATGAACGACCTTAGAATATGTCATTGGAACGCCAACGGTTTGGCACACCACAAAAAGAACTTCAAATCTTCTTAGAAAACCAAGCAATAGATATAATGCTAATCTCCGAAACGTATTTGACCAAATTTAACAACTCCAATATTGATACACTTTTGTTTTATGACACCAAACACGCTGAAGGGAAAGCGCGTGGTGGAACTAGAATACTCATCAGGCAAAAAATTAAACATTATATATTGGAAGAGTACTGTATAGACTAGTTTCACGCTACCTCAGTTCATATATATGATAATTCTGGAATAAATATTTTCGCCATATATTGTCCACCCCGATACAACATATCAGAAACTCAATTTACTGATTTATTTTCCAAACTAGGTTAACGGCTTCTAGTATCAGATGACCCGTCAGCCAACATACTGGCCAACTGATCTAAGCAAAACCCCAGATTTGATTGACTTTGGAGTAACTTGTGGTATCAGTAGAGTACAAGAAAGCATAAAACCCCTTTTCCACTTATCATCTGACCACTCGCCCTGTCTATGTTCTATTAACATTATTCCAGTTTTCAATGACTTACAGCTAGGCTTCACCAATAAATTTACAAATTGGCTTAAATACAGAAAATTAATAAGTGCGCATCTAAAATCGATCATTCCTCTAAAATCAATAGCAGATGTCGACAATGTAGTTGCTGGTTTTGCAACATTACTACATCTGGCAGCGAAAATTTCTACGCCCATCTAACACTCATTGAAGACGAATTTTCAGGTCTTCAGGGTAAAGACATTACAAGTCTGGTAACCAAAAAAAAGAGATATTGGCAGAGGTTTCGTTCCCCGGCCGTAAAAAATGAGCTGAATATTTACATAAAAAAATCATCAGGAAGTCTTGAAACAAAAAAAGAAAACGAATTTCAAAAGCCCGTACAATCTCTGCCAGCTACTTCTGATACTAACTACTCTTTGTGGTGAAAAGTTAAGAGTTTCGAAGCGACCAGGAAAAGGGTATCACATTTGCCATGCATCTTTCCAATGTATTTACACCAAATGTTGGATACAAATCTCTTCCAGAAACACAGCACAATAGAGCAGGCGCATAGACTCGTAGCACACATAAGATCAGCGTTGAAAACAAGCAATATTGTACTGCAGTGCTCCTCGATGTAGCTCAGGCATTTGATAAAGTTTGGTTAGATGGTCTTTTATACAAGCGGAAAGCTACGCTTCCCGTAAAAATTTATGAAGTTTTCTTATTGGCAGAAAATTTCGTGTTATGCAAAAAAGTTACACCGCTGAATCCTTGAAATATTCGTTGGTGTTCCACAAGGAAGTGTTTTAGGGCCCGTCTTATATTTAATTTATACGAACGATCTTCCCACAAACCGAAACCTCATCACATCAACTTTCACGGATGATACAGCAATACTTATACCCTTGACAGCTAATTACAGATTACGAGAACATTTAAAAGTAATAGAAGAGTGGCTAACAACTTGGAGAATTCAAGTCAATGAGACTAAGTGTATACAAGTAAAATTTAACCTAAAAGCACAGACAAAAAGATTACTCAAACGAAATTGAAAATTTCGAACTTGCACTGGATTGGAGGCTCTAAGTCCAAACTAAGTCTAGAAAACAAAGTTTTACTTTTTAATATGCTTATAAAGCCATCTTGGACGTACAGGATCTGAATTCGGGCCTTAAGATTAATATGCCAAACCCCTTGGTATGTGAAAAATTCCACAATTCACAACAGTCACGGGATTAAAACCGTCCATGAGGAAATAGAGAGACTGCTTAAAAATTAATCATTAAGGTTATCTAACCACCTAAACTTTTTAGCTAAAAAAGTATTGCAGCAAAACTACCCTAAGCGATTAAAGAGAAAGGATTTACGTTTGAACTGTGACTAAGGGCTCTGCCGCATCCGATTATTCTTCATCGGAGTTGCGCTCCACATATATCCTTCATAATATTATAATTTATTACAAATTATCCTTTATCATATATCTTTTGCTAAATTTTAAACATGAGTGTTTGGTATCCACCATGATATCTATATAAACACATTCTTTGAGAAATCTAAGTTATATTCGTAATTTGTTGTACTTTGCTCACTTTGTTAATCTATATAGTGGTAATGATTAACTTGTTCTAAGAATAAGAATTAGCTTTACGATTTTCGTAATTATTGTTAGTTTTCAAAAAGTAAAGATTCAATGAAACACTATACAAAAAAGGATTTCAATTTGTTTTTGACCATCCTAAAGATACCCGAAAGTGGGCAGGGTGCTTCCGCTAGTCAAACCGGGTAACCCGCCGATATCTCTCCATCTGAGTCTAGCAGCGCATCAGCGGAAGCAATGCAAAGTGCATACTACCACAACAGCACTTATCGTCATAAACACTTCGCTCCTTCCTTCGCTCGTATTTACGAAACTGAACTGCTATCCCTGCGATCTTTCCTCCACTACCCTCTTCACCATCTGGATGAAGAAGTACAAGCACGACGATAGGAAAGTCTATGGCGTGAAAACCCAAAGTTACTGGGTGTCACACTGTCATTGCGATTGCCACAAAACTTAAGAGCCGCAACAAAATACGAGGTGTGTTCAACAAGTATTGAATTTTCGCGAGTTACGTATAATCGAATTTCGATTTTTTTGTGGCATTATGTTGGTACTTATGCCGAAAAGCTCGGCCATTTTGAATGTTCACTTAATTGCTGACAGCTCAAAGTAGCAACGTTTATCGGTGGTACAAAATGTTCTCAGAAGGCCGAGAAGATGTGAACGACGAAGAGTGTGCCAGAAACGCCCGGATTTGTGGAAGAACAAAAAAATTGGCTTTTGCACCACGATAACGCCCGTGCTCACACATCGTTGCTTGTGCCCGACTTTTTGGCCAAAAACAACACACACCGTATTCCCCAGATCTGGCCCCCTGTGACTTTTTCTTGTTCCCTAAACTGAAGAGGCCCTTGAAAGGACGACGTTATAATATCTCATGGGGATTAGTTTGAAGGGGACAAAATAGATATTCATGAATAAATAAATAATTTTTGAAAAAACACAAAATTCGCGATATTTTTTGAACGCACCTCGTAGATAAAGAAATGTTGCTGGCAACCTACAAAGCAAAATGCCGGCAGGTCGTTAATTATACTGCACCGATCTGGTCACCGGAGATGAACGACACGCAGATGAAAAAGCGACAGACTTGCCAGTACTTCGCCCTCAGGACCGCGGCAGTAAACCTATTGTTGTCGTGGGAGCATCACTTGCCCTGTGAAGCATCTATGCCACGAGTTAAGGAGCAAAACGTATCCCAATAGGTAACTTATTGTAGCTGAACCTCCACCCAGACACATCAAAAAGGGAGTCCTAGACCATCCAGCAACACGTTCGGAGCAGACGAAGAGCTCAAGATGCCTCGAGAGACCCAAGTGGTACTTATCCAGAGTCGATCCCAACATACCCAACGTATGTCCTGCATGTACGGAGTGTCCGCACGACACTAACCATTTCTTTACATGGACGCTGAATCCAACGCATCTAACCTCCTCTCACTCTGGTCCGATGCCGTGGAAACAACACGTTTCCTGGACCGTTAGAAGACCTCGGTGACTTAGATTGATTGGCCTGTCTTTAAGCGGGGTTAACGAACAACTAAATGAGCCCCCTGCGGGTTAGGGGCTCAAGAATTTACCCACGGTAAGGCACGCGTGTCGTAAGAGGCAACTAAAATAGTTCCCGCGACAGTCAGGTCATTATACCGGAACGACCCGAATTTTTATCCGGCAAAGTACTTCGGGGAATAATTTTGCGGTTACAACAACAACAACAAGAACGAAAGGCGTGGTATTCTTGGTGCGGTGCCCACACCATTGAAGAAACGCAAGAAAAAGATACCCGTAATATTGAACGATTATTAAGTGTTTAAAAAGATTTATTCTATTTAAAGAACTTTTGTCAAATTTATTATAATATATTTAAAACTGGATTACTAGTTTGCGATCTACTTTATCTACTTTAAAATCTATATTAAAATGATGAGAATTAATATCCGAAATCAATCAAAGTCGTATAAAATACATATGGATATGGAACTCAAACTCACAACATAGAAACAAAGCTGTTTTATAATTACGTATTTAATAGAGGTGTAAAATGATGAAGTACAAATAAATTATAATTATATATTTCAAACATATATTTTGTTTCAAGAGACTGCACTACTTAAAACAACAAACAAACAACAAAAGCTTTATTATTCTGCTGTCATGTCATCAGGAATTTCTGAGTCCTCAATGGTGCGTGTTGCCGGTATATAGACTTTAAAAGCGTATTTAGATTTTACAAAAGAGCCCGTATTAAGCACTGTACAATCGTGTTGAGTAGTTGAAAAACTTTGGCAAGAATCACCAATAACAACCAAATCGGGCAAAGGATATAACCATAGAGATGAATCGTAGTCCCAATGCACTGGAGTGGCGATAGGGTGAATAGGCGTCAAATGATTTTGGCATATTAAAGTGCGCGCAAAATGTTGCTCGATATTATCAGTATCGGGTGGAAAATGCAATGTATTCCGACAAAATTTCGCCATTAAATCCAATCGACACACAACAATTTGTTGAGTACAATACTGCAATCGGCAAGGATTGCTTGCCAGTATTGTGCGCGACCAGACTTTCCGCAAGCCTGTTGCAAGGGATTCAGGTATTGGACCACGTGGTAGAATATTCGGGGCTGTGGGATCTTCACATGAAGGAACTATAATTAAATCCGTTTGTTTTTTTAACTGATCACATCCAGCAGCCAAAGAGCCTAGCGCAGTAAGATTTTGTGCCAATGAATGATAATTACTATTGGAAGCAGCAAATGGCCCCATTAGAACTATAGCTATGGGCGGACAGGAATCATACCCGACAAACAACATACGAAGTCTGTCTAATACCACAGGGTTGTCCAGTCGTACGTCCGAGAGAAAAACAAGTGTAGCTTCAGTATTGGTACTCTCCAACTCATGCAATCGTGTAGAATACTTTAACAACTTTAGGGATTCTCCACCCCAACTATTCTGTGTTCCAAAAAAAGCGCGGGAGCTAGCAGCAGGTTCCGCTGGTGGAAAACCTAAGCCATCAACTAAAAATAAGTGGTATAAGATTTAATTTCACACTTGTGATTATACAGAAACATTACCTTTGAGCACACCATTATTATATGAGCCCTCTGCTAGTACAAAACAACCTTCACAAAAAAAACCAGAATGAAAACGAGTTCCACATAAATCCAACTCAATACTGCCAGTAGGATCTTCTATATAAAATTTTCCTTCTTTTAATTGTGTCAACAATCCGAGCACAACCGCTTCTTTCACTGTTGACGTTGCAAGCAAATTTTCTGCATATTGCAGTTTAAATTTCTTCACTTGCGATTCTGCAGATACTCCACTTTGAATTATTGCTGGAGCAAATAACTCGTGGCGCAAAGTCTTTTGCAATAACATCGCATAACGTTCACGTAAATGGCCTGCCTTCATTGTTGGGCGTGTCAGGATACAACAGGAATCTTTGTTTAGCTCGAATTTTTTGCTTTGAGGATTGTAATGGTATCGTGGCACTTTGAACGCATCGATTACCGAGAAAATTCTTTCACCCTCATCCAAACCAACTCTATTGATTTCGTTTATAGCTTTTTCAAGAGCATTTCGTTCCACTTGGGTTGTCTGCAACCGCTGGCCTTGCAAGTTCTCTGTGATAACCGTAAGCCACTTTTCACGTTCGGTATCATCAAACGGCAGAAGCTGCTCTGCTAAGTAGGCACTATTTTCCGATCGTATTAGAAATCCACTAAGTTTAAATGAAGTTGTAATTTTCCTTTTCAATTTGGATATGTCGTCCATTTTATTTAATGCTTCTCCGACAGACTATTCGAATTTATGAAATGCTTTAAATTACTTATCAGAGAAAAATATTTTATTCCTATTCGGAAGTGGCGCCAAAACATATGTTAGTGCAACCCATAGTTCTGAATAAGTCTTTGTAAAATTTTGTCTAACTGCTCTTGCAGAAAAATAATTTTTATATTTACTAGAGGCAATGTAAGATTAATATTGTTTCGATCCATTCACTTCAAAACTGGAAATGTGCGTCAGAATTGCTAGTGAAAGCAACACACTAATAGTTTTGTTCGGTGGCTTGATTGGTAGTAGCAATTGTTAGGTACAATCATTATACATAGAACAAAGTAGTTTCACTCAAAATTGTTTTCAATAATTTTGACCATCTGAGTTTTAGTCTTTTGCTTCATTGTTGCTTGATTGCAGCCAATTTCATTCTTTTTTTAAATCAGTTTTCAGCTTTCTAAAACTAGAAATACTTATTATTTTCAATGTAAAAAAATGTATTGAAATATATAGCATACTCAAAGGTATTGCATTATATTTTCTGAAATCTAATGAAAACAAATTATTTTATGGCAGGCAATCATTTTTTCTTAAAAAAAATATATGGAATATTTTTAAAGCGGCAATATCTGTCACTTAAAATGAAAATAATATACACACTTTTTCTGTCCATTTTATATTGAGTGAAACTACTTTATTTTTTTTTTTTGTATCATGGCTAAAAGTAAAAGCCTCAATTTCGACGAATGAAAACATCTGATAAAAAAATGACTTTAAATTTAATGATATGCTAACAAAAGTGGTGGTCATATAAAATTTTGCTAAATTGAATTAAAATGATGGCAACTATAGAATAAAATAGTTAAGATAATAAAAATAGCGTTTGGTTAATATAATTGGCCAAAATAAAAAAACTCAATTCCATATTCCAATATTTTAATATCTAAGTGAGAAACTGTTGCAAAACAGGTTTTACATAAGTCGAAATCTAAATTTATTCAATCATCTTTAAATCATCCAATAAATTAAACGCCAAAATATATCGTACAACTTACTGGCTAACTTTTACGGAGCGATGTTTGGTGCAAATTCAGTAATTTTCTTTATTTGGGAGAGTTAAACATCTTACTCAATTTCGTTACTGGCTAATTTTGCTGACATTTCCCATCGAACAGGCCTGATATCGGAATTCGCTTTATCGCAACTTATACAAATGGGCATCACTTTGCCATCAGCTGTTTTCACTTCAACAAACCAGGCGATTTATAACTTCAGCATAATCAAAATATCAAATGGCTTGTTTACGAAAAAAATTCAATTTTCTAAAAGCAATTGCAAAATAAATAAAAAAAACCGGAGGACACCGAAAATGTTGGAAACCTGTCAGAAACGTCATATGCTACTCGGTCTTGGCTTGTTAGTGGCAGCAACAGTGGTAGTACTCATCATCGAATCACGATTTTCTGATAATGAGAATGCACGTCGTTCTCGAGCTCAGCAATTTGTCATCGAAAATAATTCTACTTGTTGGCAGCGTGAGGAGTACACAGTAATTCAGGAATGCCATCCATGTACCGAATTTGATATTATCAGTAAAAGTTTAGGAGTATGTATTCATACACATTACAAGGAGGTTCTGCGTTGTAAAAGTGGAGAAACTGTCACTCGCAGCTGCGATCGTGTTGCACTTGTCGATCAACGAAATTTCATCAAGTTTGAAATTACGTGTTTCATTTTGGGATTATTTAGCTATTTGATATCATATACAAGAGATCGGATATTAACACGAAGGACACATTTAAGAATCGAACGCCAGTTAAATCGTATGCAATAGCGTTCAGCATAATTGGTAGCGTTTATTATCTTACAAAATAATAAACTGCTGAACATAATTTCTTCTGATTTTTAATGAAAACTTATGATAAAGTATTTCAAGTAATAAGTAAAATGTATGGAGTGGTAATCATTCGCTCTTCCCTATGTGTATTGGTATTAATATGAATTTATTTATGTTCGTCGTAATTTAAAAATAATTATACCATAACCATAGTAAAGTTTAGAACAATAAACACCATAACTTTTTATACAAATAAATGTGAAGTTATAATATTCGAAAATCAAATAATCGGAACCTGGGACAAGCTTCAATTGGATATTCCTAGCATAAAAACAAGGATTTTTAGTATTATAAGGCATCTATTTTTAATGCATATTAATAAAGGATATTTAGCATGTTTCATAAAAATGCAATTAAATAATTAATTCTGGAAACGAGCATTTATTGTTATTGGAATGCATAAAGTATACATTTAGACCTTCTAAATATTATACATTTTTTCATTTTATTTTCATCTCTTTGCAATCATTTCTTAGCTCTTCATTAATTTTTTCTGCTTATCCCCTTAATAAAATCCAAACAATATATTTTTCGACGCATGTATTCAGTAGGTGCATGCACTTCCATCAATAACAAGAAATAAGAAAAACGTTAGACGGAAAAGAGAACGGAGATTAATAAATATAACAGTAAAATATATTGATAAGCTCAATTGGTCATAATCTTGGTTTCTTTTCTTTCTGCAAAGAATATTTTAAATAGAGATGCTAGATTTAAAGTATTCGTTATCAAATATCATCATAAGAATTAATTTATATGTATACGTATAATGTCTAATTCTAAATAATCGTACTTTTGAATACGCTATGGTGCATAAATGTATGTAGAACACCCTTGAAGTTATTATTGATTTCTGAAATTTCACGCAACTTATTTTCGCCAATCTGTTATCAAGTCTGGTTCAACAAACGTGGTGGAGGCATTACTTAATTGCATAGACGCATTTTCGCTAACACTCAATGCGCTGGTATCCATAGATGCGCCGTCACCTTTTGATTTTATGCTATTACTGTTAATGCTTTTTAACGAATTATCTGTCATTGGTAATGGTTTAGCAACACCAATACGGACCACTCCTTTTGGTGCACCTTTTAGTGCTTGAACTGCTTGATCCAAAGAAGCATTTTCCAGATTTATCGAATTTACAAACAGTAAACGGTCACCAGGTATTAGACGTCCATCCATTTGTGCCACTCCCCCAGGCACTAAAGAACGAATTACTATCAGTGTGTCGTTGGAATCTAACGGATCCTGATAATCCAATATGGAGAAGCCCAAACCGCGATCGCCCTTGACCAATTCAATTATCTGAGGCTCGGACGACCACATTGCCAAGCCTGTAAGTGGCTCTAATGAGCGTGATTTTAACTTGTTAAACGAGTCGTCGTTGACCGAACCAGCAGTGGCCAGGCTGCCATCGGATTTGGCTTTCACCAGTCGATCAGCGGTTGGTAACAAATTCTCGAAATTGCTGCTCAATTTCTTAAGGGTATCATCCGAAAATGGCATTAAAGCATTCTTGCCTCTCCCGCAAACCATGCGTACGTCCTGGGGTAATTCCTTTAGAATAGCCACCACTTCCAAATGATTCATACCAAGTAAACGTTCACCGTTCACTTCCAAAAGTTCATCACCTGATCGAAGAACACCATTCACACCTACAGGTCCATCAGCCAAAATGGAACGAATGTAATGATGGGGACGAACTTCTCGCCCACCCTCCACGTCGACAGTTCCCTCCAATGATATTCCCAAGCCACCTACAGCGAACTTTTTTATCTGGGCAACTATAACGTCTACGTCTGGACCGACAATCTTTGTCCACTTGCTTTTAATCTCTTGCTCAACTTCTGCATTTAGTTCAGCGGCAGCATAGTATTTGTGACGCGATATTAAAGGTGTATTCTTTGCCTGCATTGTTGTCTTAAGTAAAAAATATTGATTGAAAAATTATTGAAATATGCATCCACTTACCTCTACTCCAGTTAGCTCACTCTCCAATTTAGCCATCGTAGTGAATGAAACATCTGTAGGTATGATCTTAGGAGTGCCATCGATAGAGTCCCGCACTGATATAACTTTCTTACCGGAACCAAAACTACTCAAATTAGTAGTTGGCTCAGACGAAGAAGCTGCCGGCGTAACACCTGCAAATGCATCCGGTACCGAGACCGGAGATATATTGGTAAGGCGATCCAAAGTAAAGTTCCGTATCTCTTCCCTAGCATGTGTTGGCGATAATGCTTTAGGCATTGACGACGATCGCTGTGATGAGATTGATGTAATTGGAGAAGGCATATTAATTCGTGAAGGCGTTGTTGGTACGCTTGGTACCTTATCATTTGCAGCAATGGCCTGTTGTAATTGTTCATACTTTGGGCCACGTAAGTAACGCTCCAAGCGTAGGTTAACAACCTGGCCTGATTTTTTGAGCAATTCTACCGCCTGATGATTAGAGAAGCCTTGCAAAGATTGACCGTCTACTTCAATAATGCGGTCGTTCACTCTTATACGCCCACTCATGTCGGCTGCCGAGCCTGGCGATACACTCTTTACGAATATTCCTGATAGTTCTTCTTTCTCACAAACATAGCCGGCAATGGTAATGCCTAGACCATTTATGTCTTTAGTCAATTCAACTTGAAGTTTTTCAGTTTCCGGAAGAGCCAATAAATCATCAAAATCTATGGTAGGAACAGCCATAGGAGGGCGTTTAGAAATGTCTTCGGAGCGGTAAACAAATCGGTCATCTTCTGTAGTTGTTTGCGGTGTAGACGCTGTAGAGCTTTCACCAAATATTTCCGGATACCCAGTAGAAATTAAATAGCGCTCTAATTCAACTGGGTCTACTAGCACACGGGTAGGCACAATAGCACTTCCTGGTTCTAGTGAGAATTGACTCGGAGAAGCGTGCTCCATGGGTCGCGCAACTACAAGACGAACATGCGTACCAGATTGTCGCAACACTGCTGCTACTTGTTCAGATACCATATCGTGCAAATTTACGTCACCTATCTGTAATATGTGATCGCCTGATCGCAAGCGTCCATCGCGATCAGCGACTCCTCCCGGTAAGATAGTCTTTACAGTTACACCAGAAGAACGAGCCCCAATGATGCCAAATCCAAGCCCGGTTCCATCGTTGACCAGCTCGATAGCCTGAATTTGCGCATAATCGGCAGAGAAAAGGTCTGCAGCTACTTTGGAATTCTGAGATTGAGGACGGCTTTGTTCATCTGATTCAATTACTCCAGTTAATGTTGATGGCGTCAAATGACCACTCCCTGGGCTACTGGGACCTGAATGAGGAGACAGTGGGGTAGATGAAAAATCGTACATCACATCCCCACCATTAATGCTCAAAACTAAATTGCCAGCCACATCGATATCGAAATCATTTGGTAACATTGAAGGGTGTTGCGCTAACTGTGCATTCAATTCTGAAAGCGAGTCTTGTACATGAACTATAGTGCGGAAAACGGGATCTTGTAGTATGTCCAATATTGTTTTGAGACTGTCAGCCGTCTGCAATTGAAGCTTCGCATCATCGGACTCGTCAATTCCCCTTTTTACGGCCTCTATTTGCTGTAAAGCGCTCGAAATATCCGCGCTAAGATGCATTACAGAGTAAGATATTCTCACAAATAAAGCGAAATAAATATTTTATATTAGTCTTTATTTTTTCACAGTACGTTGTAAGAAACAAATATTAGAAATTTTCCTTATTTGATTCGCCTGACTAATTAAATTTAACACAGTGCTTCCAAATCAGAAGAAAAAGAGAAATATGTCATACCCAAACAATACATACACTACGTTTACACATGTAAACATAGGCTGTGTGTCAAAATGGTTAAATGAGATGGGAAAATTTTAATATGATTTAAAAAATTTTACAATTTTACAATTTGCTGTGCCAAATGAGTTCAATTAATGATTCGTAGTTAATTCAGAGTTTTAGGCAACGGGTTAGTAAAGAAAAATTCGGAAACATTTGAAAATTTCTTCCACGCGTCTACAAGAATTGCCCATTAATTCCCACAGAGCATCACGAACTCTCATTTGTTTTTGTATTAGGTCTGTTCGTTCATCAGATGGTCAATATCAATTTTTATCAAACTTTACTGAATCATGTTCGTTGAGCCAAAAACTCAGTCAACATTGGTAACGAGAGAGCGCATTTTTGAGGTTTAGTTTGGAGAGAAAATTGCAAATTCGTGCTGTCAAAATTTGATCCAGTAAAATCTAACAAGTAAGAAAAACTTCCGATTTGTGGTCACATGATTGAATTTTTCTCAACAAAACTAAATTTTTCTATGATGCAAATAATATTCATTCTTTAATATGAATGATACACTAACAAAATAAGTGGCCAAATTTGATCATATCAACTATTCAATTCAATAGTTAAGGTATTCGTTAAATAAGAATGTGTTGGCAGTGGAGCGGAGTCATCGCCCGCATGCCACGCGGCTTACATTGAGAAATTAGAAATTAGGAATGTTGAAGGCAAAGTTCTATGAAATCTTCCATCCTTCCATTTGACAGTGGGTGATAGCAGATGTGTGCATTTTGTGAGAACGCAAAAGCTTTGTTAATTCATTAAGTAATTTTGAAGTAAATTGTGTTCCTTGATCTACCGTTATATTGAGTGGAATACCGAAACGAGGAACAGAATATTCAATAAATTTAGTTGCTACAAAATAGTAGTTTTTGTGTTCTTATGGTTTTTTGACAGTTAATGCAAGATTATATCCAAATATTAATTTCTTTACGCATATTAGGCCAAAAATATTTAGACTGAATGAAACGTCGAGTTGTTCGAACACCGTGATAAAGAATTGTTTTTTTTTTAAATATTTTTTCTCATTGGATTGGGAACATATGGTCTAAAAGGTGTTTGGATAACATCATACCAAATATATATGTTTACATCGGCAATTTTATTATCATTTCCAGAAATGTCATTAGTAAAATGTGCAATATATTCTAAATCTCTATATTGACGAGGAGATCTATCTCGTTTAGAATTTGGAACAAATGTAAGTGGTTTAAGATCAAAACAGTCAAAACTCTACATTAGAGAAAATGTTCAAAGTGATTAATTGAGTTCTATATTAGCAAAAGTTCTCTATCCAATGTTGAGTAATTTATTTCAGGTGGACTTACATATCTTTCGCGAAAAATATGGTAATAGCTTTAATATGTTGTTATCCTGTACTGTTACTTCTTTTGTATGCTATGTAAACAATGTACGTGATCTATTGATCTACAATTTTCCCATCACTTTCTTAATGCCGAAATGACAAACGTGATGTTTACATGTGTATACGTGTAAATCATTCTCTCTTCGTTTCCATGTGTACCAGAGAACATAAATACAACGAGAAGGTCCGGGGTGTGCTGTCAAATCGTTCCGCTGCCTCGCCGTCGAAAGGGAATTTAACAGAGCTAATTTCAAAGGATTTTTTTTAAATGAGAAAAAACATGCAAAATAAATGTGAAATTAATAAGCATATGCAAGATAAATACAAGCATTCTGTTGCTTTTTTTATTTCCTTCAAATAATTTGTAAATTTCAATAAATATTTTTGAAATTTATCCATATGATTTTTATATACTCCCATTCTTTTTTTTAATTGATGGTAGTCATGATAATTTATATACATATATTAAAATATATTCGATTAAATTATATTAATAGGCCTATTCTTACTGTTTGAAAATTAATATATACACGAAATTGATTAAAGATATGCTTAACGCAGTGTTTCAATCACTCTCATTGACGACCAGAAATTGAGTAACTTAACGAATAAATGCTAGTGATATAAAAGAAGCGAAGAAAGGAAGATGAGCGTGAAAGGGCCCCGCTATAATTCACAATAAATTATACATAGGCTTAAATACTGTTGACTTATCCAAATTATAGACATACGAACTATCACCAAGTTCATTGTCACTAACCACAAGAATATCATTTATGCTAACCAATACAAAATCTAATCTTGAAAATACCTCATTAATAAATCGTTGAAATGTTTGAGTACTGTTTCTAAGTCCAAAAGGCATACAACCTAGTTCAAACTTATAGAAAGGGGTGTTTATTACTGTTTTTTGTATGTTTATCTTCCTCAGCCTACTAAATCAATTTTTGAAAATCTTACATTATCTTTTTAGTCAATATTCAAATCGTGAATGTGCGGTTATATATATCGATCTGAAAAGGTGATAAAATTGAATCTTCTGTGATCGCCACATAGTCCCCAATCAATTGGTTTTTTTTTTTGGGAACTAAGTGAAGAGGAGATGCGGTATGTGTACCAGTTGTAACCAATATTTCGATCTCTGTTTTGCTAACTTCAATTTAATAGGATCAAGTCATCTAGGTTTAGAAAATGGAAGAATCGCTTTTGTTTCAATTCTGGAAACCGTATGGCATTGCACTTGTTTGGTGTAATCCGGTTAACAAGTAATGGGTTGATTTAAAAATATGTTTTTAAATTTATTTTCGATAATAGGCATTCGATGTAAGAAAATGTCGCAAAAACCGATAGATTCAGAACTTTTAGATTTAGTTGTTAAATCTATTAATTCTTCAATTTTGATATCTGATAAATTTCCAAATTTTTCTACAAATATAGCACCAATAATAGATTAGATATAGAATTATACAGGGAAATTCAAAATCTCTCCATAAATCCAAATCTAGATTTACATGTTTTGTTCCAAATGTTTCCATACTTACTCCGTTTGCAACTGAAGGTTTAAGCTCAGAATTTCTTTCTAATAGTTTGAATTTAAAAGATGGTATAACTGAAAAAAAGGCGTCTGTATCAAAAAAAAATTGTAATATGTTAAATTTATCGAAAATGAAAAGGCGACCTATAGGTTTATTAACATTTCCATTATCAGCTACCTGTATCGTCATAATGGAACTTTTTAGTTGAAAGAATTTTTATTTGAAATAGTTGCAAAATTTGATTTAAAATTGCAAATGTGAACAACCATTTGAAGACATTATTTTTAAATTCTTGATGATACTAACAAATATAACTTCGATAATTATTTAGATCTATATATAAATCTAAATAATTTGTAATTCGTTAAAATCTGCAGTAATTTTGTTTAAAGTTTGATACATTCCGGTTGTTAAATCAGTTAAATGTTTAATGCATTGTTCTAAATTATTATGATTATTAAAAGTTGAAGCTATTGAAGATACTTTAGGTTTATTAATTAAACCGAAAATTTGATCTGCCAAAATAAAAATTTCACGTTTATTTTGAGTATTATATAAATGTATATACATATATAATTGGCGCTTTGTAACCGCTGAAGCGATTCCGGGCGAACTCTTCTTCGAACTTGGGGCGACCACAGTTAGAAAATCGAACTTAATTTTTAATTTAATTTAATTTTCAATAACCTTTGGATGTTAGTCGTCCCAGCAGGTGAGCCCGGGTCTTCCGAATGTCAATACACAATGCTAACCACCGCGGTCGCTATTTTGATTATTAGAAGAAGTTAAATGAATTTGAATTTGTTGAGTTATTTTACGAATCCATAATTTAAAAAGTAATTCGTGACTAACAATTGAGTCTGAACCAATTAATGATTTCACATATCTAAAAAGCTCACCAAGTTCGGTATTTGAAAATAATTGTGACACTTCTTCACTAAGAGAAAAACTCACACAAAGAGCTTTCATAATTGTTTCGAAAATCTTTGAAATAGTTTCTCGTTGAAGAAAAATGAAAGCATTTTGCAACTTAGTGTATTTATGAAATTTATTTCAAATTTTTCTTCAACAAGCAAAAACCATGCTTCAGGACATTCATTCCAAAACGGATATAATTTAATTGATTTGGAACTTGATTTAAAAATATCTTCAAGTTGTATTAAATTATGTGTATGATTTTGTGTTAAATTTTGGGTTGCATTTAAATTTGTATTAGAGTTTGTGATTTCGTTTTATGACCCTGTTGTTGTAAAATTACGTATACGTATGAGTGATCTACGTATGGTTCGGAAAGGAGTTTACAAATGTTTAAAAAAAAAAATGAAATTTAGATTTGAAATGAGATATATAATTAACGTAAATAGTTTAATAATGCTATATATAATAATATAATATATATGTATGTAAAAATTGGTGTTTCCTTAACAAATTTAACGCGTTCAAATTTTAGCACCATTTAAATTAAACTCAACAGAATAGACCGGAACGGTTTATTTTGGTGTGTGTTTCACGGTTGCTGACCAACGTGAAAAATGTTGATATTGATGTTGATTGAAGCACTAGTTGATATCTTTGGCCTTTATAGATTTAGTTTTTTGACTTAGTTTAAAAATCTTTAAAATATTTCAATTTATTATTTCACTGGGCAGTATATGTTCAAGAAATCATTGAAAAATGTATTTCTTCCTCTTCTCTTAGTAAATATGTTGCGCAAAAATAATGGTTTCAATGAATGGATCACAGCAGGACCGAAGTTGAATTCCGTTTTATAAAGCTGTTTTTTGCAGCAAAAAGGATAGCAACAAATTAAATAATTGAATCCCGCAGATAACACAACCACAGTAAAAATAGCGATAATATCGATTGCAAACGGGCAGGATCGCCAATTATATTGAACACTACCCATCATTCAAAACATTAGAAATAGGCAACAATCATCAATGGCAACAAATACGCAACTAAGCGACTTATTGCCATAGTGATAAAGCGACAACATTTGCTTCTTGTTCTCATACGTATACTGAATTGATGCCAATTTGTTGCCTGGACAATAAATCGGTAATATTTTTTTCCGGTAGTTCATCATAAACGACACATTTTTATAAAAAAAGTGATAAAAAATTAATCATGGAAATTAAAAATAAAAATTTTTTTAAAATTATTGTTTTTAAAACCTTAAAAAAGTAAAAAAATGTAAACATGTCCCAGCAATACGACAACAGCCGCACCTTCACCTTCAACCACACCCATGGCTATGAAGAATGATATAATTTATGACTATGAAATGATCGATGTAGTCGATGTTGTTGATCACGAGCAGGATATATGCATAGCACGTCGACTCCCACCATCCCACCTCAGTCGGCACCGGTTGTTACCCCGCTAAAAGGCATTAACACAAAAGTTCATCCAGTAGCGGAAAGAAGTCGACATCAAAGCAACAAAATACAACTGCACCGTGGTAAATTAAAACCAAAATTACTTAAGCACACAACAAACAGTACAAGAGCCAGGAGTTGACGAGAATGCCGTTGGTGAAGACCAATGATGAATCTAGCATATGTAAAATATGCTTGTAAAATGTGTTGTTTTGTCTATTTTCAATAAATTGCAATATTTTTTGCTATTTATGAGATCACAACTGAATATTAAACTATAAAAACAATTATAATAAATATACAAATCATTTAGAAGAGTAAAATATACTGTTATTCCTCAAATATTGTCTTGGAGAAATGAAAGAAAGAAAGTTTCTGCGCCTTTGTCGATAAATTTGTTGCCCAGGGCAACACGTTTTGTTTTTACCGGCAACAAAAATTGTCTGGTGGGTATTTAAATATTATATAAGTAGGTCCATGATATAAAAATTCTATAAGGTAGTTTCACTTCGAAATCTTTGACAACAAATGTTTGATCTTGCCACTTAAAAAATTTTCAACTATGAATTAAAATATTTGTTTCAATCCATCTTTCATTGGCGGCAAAAGCAAGAAAAGGATTTGCTAGATAGATAAATAATATGGAAAGAATTGCCATATTTCGAATCTTAAGCTTTTACATTTTCTGATTGGATAGGGATAGTCATAACCATGGTAAACTCTGCGGTCCGTTATCGATTTCTCAGACATTTCTTCATCGATAGCCTAGCATCATTAATCTCCTGAACTTCTAAGAGGTGAGAGGAAACTTCTTCGTAGAACCAACATATCACCAAGAGATCGGGGTGGCGTGATCGAGCAAGCTGTTTAACTAACTTACTGAGTAATATTAATATATTTTCCGGTTAGTTTGAATTCAGAAGTGTTTGGAAGTTTAATCGACTTCAAGCGTAATTATAAGATTTTTATAATGAATTTGCACTGCTCTAAAAAATCAACAATTATTAAAACAATATCCTATTTGCTTACAAAATTTCCTTAAAACATCTCTAAAACTGTGAGACGAATTTGCATTCCAATGTAGGTATAGCAAATCCAGCCAGCTGCTCATCTCTTTAAATTCGATTTGATTTCTGCTGTGCGAATCTCTTCTCTTTCTGATACTTACCTACAGTTTACTAAAGTTGTAATACACTCGATGAAGTCCACTATCAGGGTTTGGAAAATACGTAACTTTTGACCATTTGAACATATAAAAAAAAATAAGAAAATTTTTCTGATATTTTTTTTTTAAATTGTAGATTTTTTTTATGAGAAGAGGGTAGCACGAAAAAGCCGAAGCACGTTTAATGTCAGATAACTATGAAGTCGACTGCGAAGAGAAAATGAAACAACCTTTAAATTATTACATATACATATCATGGGTACTGAGCCATATTCATAAAAGTGATAGCAAGAGCAGAAATACAACAATTACAGTGAATTTTCTTTCAGCTTTGATTATATAAATTCAAAAATTTTGACTTTATAAAAGAATTATTTCAAACGTTCGATACTTACTTTGAAAATTTAGTTATCATTAAATATTTAAACTATTTCACATGATGATTCGCCCAGAACTCGATTACTATGCAGTGTTGAATGTTTCTCGGGATGCGCCCAAGGAGGATATAACGCTTTCGTATCGAAAATTAGCCATACAATTGTGCCCACATCGTGACCCAAAGTATGAACGTGACTTTGTTTCTATTTTGGGACCCACTCATATGCAACCTTTATCTTTGAATCGCCAATGGGAATACATTAATATGGCTTACGATGTTTTAGGTAAAATCAATAGCTCTAATTCTTAATCAAAATATAGTATAAAATGTTTCCTTTCGATAGGTAATGATTTGCATAGAGCCATTTACGATCGTTTCGGTGAGGCAGGACTGTTTCAAGGAATACAATTGCCAAACGGTTACTTTCCACCTTATCAATATCACGGCGATCATATGAAAGTCTATCACGATGTTTTTGGCAGTTATTCACCTTACGCGAACATTATTGATATTGTTACAAATCCTCCATTACTATATTCTACCCTGGAACATGGTATTGGGGTACGCACAAAGGACCCGCCCGTGGAGAAAATAATTTATTTAGAATTGGAAGAGGTATTTAAAGGATGTACTAAATTAATGCATGTTTGGAGGCAAGAATTCCTTGATTCCAAAGAAGAACGTACAGAGAAGAGGTAAACTCACAAAGAAAGTAGGGTTTCATAACGGTCTTAACATGTCGTTACTTAGAAAAAAGACACTGAAGCTCAAAATACAACCAGGCACTACCCCAGGTACACGATTTTGCTTCAAAGAGGAAGGCGACCGTAGCCCAACAAAAATTCCCGCGGACATTATATTTATTACAGCTGATAAGCCGCATCCGGCATTCGAACGTAGTCAACATCACAACTTAGTCTATACTCATAATATAACTTTAAAGGATGCACTTGTGGGGTTTAGTTTCACAATACGAACTTTGGATAAACGTTCAATAAAGGTTAACATTTCGGATGTTGTTAATCCCGACTATATCAAAGTAATGCCAAGAGAGGGACTACCAATTTGTGAAAATATACCGATCGCCCCTGATATGAGGCCAGCTGGAGTCAAGAAGAAGAAGTTTGGAGATCTAATAATTAAATTTCAAGGTAAGAATTAATATTTGAAAATTAGATGACTTTTTGAAAAAAATATAGTGGAGGAAGCGTTTGTATTGTATATCTGTAAGGTTCTAAATAGTCTATCACCGGCGCTATGTAACCACATCAAGGTTTTTGATTCGAGCCCCTACTCAGAGATTTATTTTGTGCCTATAATAAAGGCCATTGAGAGACAGATTTATTTTTATTAAAAGTTTTTGTATGTAATGCTCGAAATACACTCGAAACATATTTGTAGATATTTTCTGTCGAGAGGGGTTAGCAAGAAAACTATTTAGTTGTTGTTCTGGAAATAATACTGCGCGCAGTAACATCCATTCAGACGCTTGAGTGTTCTGACTTCAATCTATAAAAGGGAGATTCCGTTTATAATCGTGGGATAAGCTTTATTAACATCACACATAACGTCCTACTGAGAGTATTGTGTGAAATATTTGAAGTCCATTGTCAATAAAATGATTGGACATTATCAGTGTGGTCTCAATCTTGGAAAATACGAGTGAAAAGGGATCGAAACACACTACTGCTTTGCTGATTTTAAAGCTTGATTCAATGCATTCGCGTCTCGGCTCCCACCTGACTGTTAAAAGTTGTAACTTTCCTTCTATAATTAACGACGAACAGCTTAAGAACAAATGAAAGGCGCGATATTATTGGTTCGGCTATAATCGCATAGCTGCGCCCATGAAAAAAAAAAAAAAATGAATAAGCAAAGCTTTTGAAATTCATTATGCTATAAGGAAAGTGAACGGTGATTGTTCCATTTTTTCTCCTGGGTAAAAAATTTCACCTTTAAAATCATCCTAATTTATAATCTGACAAATATGAATAGTGAGTTGAGAGATTGAGTGCTAGATTGAGAAAGAGTGGGGAAACATACTGTTCTAAGGGCAGTTTTCACCACCTCCGACTAAGCACTTAATCATAACTTAATTGGAAGGTAGCGTAAAATTCATTTCAAAGAACCAGGAGATAATTAGGCAGCTGGAATAAAAGTGGCTACTGCCAGTCGGGCGATAAATATTGTCCATTACTGTAGCGACACTTTTCCAATCAGTCATCAGAATACCTAAAAAAGCAGGGAAATTGAGAGCACAATGCGCACATTCCAATGAATATTGAGGTTTCCAACGGCGTTAGGGTGTTTAGATTGCACTTTTGTCAAAATCCAATTACCTGGAGAAGAAAATGCCGAAAGTTTTGGAAGCTGAAAATAGCGAACTTAGTAGGCCGGTTACCTGGTTCTGGATATGACAGCATAATTTTTAATAATAGTTGTCTGAACCATCGATTTCAGGGAGGGATTTTTATTGAGCGACAGTGGTTATGTTGTATCAACTTTTACATCCCAATCTTCGCGCTGAACGGCTGTACAATGAATCTAAAATCTATATTCGAAATTGCATAGGGAAACGCCGATTTCCGGTACTATCCCTTGGATTAAGAGTTTCGGTCAGCACAACCATGTATGAACATCATTGTTGTCTGTAGAGGGTTGCACAATATTGCCATCCAGAACACTAACCCGATTTGGAACCAGCAGAAGCATTCGTTGATACTGACGAAAACCTCGGCTAAGGTGCAAGAAAGATTATTTTGATTGAAAAATAAAACACATTTTATACTCTTCATTTTGAGTTTTAGGAAATTTTTGTTTTCCTATTATGTATGTACATACACACATACATATTGTAATAATATAAAAAGTGGAGGTGACAGTTTGACTTACCAGGTATGAAGCCACAGTGATAAGGTCCAATCAGTTTGTTGACGGTGGGCTTCAGTCTTTCACACAATACACTTAACAAGACCTTATAGGCTTATCCCACGATTATTGGCGCAGACTGTGGGCTCCCCTTTTTTATGGATTGGGCAGAGTACACTTAAATTCCAATCGATGCTTTTTTCCGACCATATTCTGCAAAGTAGCTAATCATGCACCTTGTCAGCTCATCGCCGCCATGTTTGAATAATTCTGCCGATAGGCCATCAGCTCCCGCTGCTTTGTTGTTATTTAATCGGGCGATTGCTATTCGATCTTCTTCATGGTCAGGTAATGGAACATCCTTTCCAAAGTCATCTATTGGTTTTTCGGGTTCACCATCCTCGGATACTCCATTTTCACTGCTATTCAGCAGGCAAGATAAATATTCCCTCCATAAATTCAATATACTCTGGGCATCGGTGGCTATATCTCCTCTTTGTGTCCTACAAGAGTCTGCTCCGGTCTTGAAACCCTCCGTAAGTCGTCGTATCAGGGGACAGCCAAGTAGCTTGATATAATTTTTTGTGCCGGAATCTAGTACTACAGACAACCATATTTCGGGCCCGGCGAAGCCTCAACCCATTAAGGGATGTTTCGCTGTGAAGGTTGAATTTCCCGACCGTTATGCCAAGATATCTTCTTTCCCCACCCTGGCATTAAAACCGCCAAGCATGGTTTTCACATCGTGGCGGGTGCAGCGCTCATAAGTATGCTCTAGGCGCTCATTAAAGACATTTTTGGCCAAATCGTCCTTCCCTTCCGTCGGCGCGTGGGCGCAAATAAACGATATGTTGAAAAATTTCGCTTCGATGCGGATTGTGGCGAGTCATTTATCCACCGGGGTGAATGCCAGTTTCTCACCACGAATCCGACACCAAATTTGCGCTCCTTTATATGGCCGCTGTAGTAAATGTCGCAAAAACCTACTCACTTGGACGGCGATGATGTCAGCCTTTCTCAATTAAGGGGCCGGACATTCCAGGTGCATGCCCTCATATCGTGATCCTTAATTCGTTTCCTGAGGTCGTCAACAAAAAGGGGATATTTCATCCGTGGCATTGCTAACTTTTTCATTTGAGCTGGTTTATACGTGGCGGGTCCCAAACGAAGTGCTCAATCCCGCCAGGCGAGTAAGTTTAAAGTTTTAACACATTTGTATAGCGAGCCGCTTGCTTCAAGACCGACGCCCGCTCGCAGCCACACCTATGGATGCTGCAATTAAACTTCAGAGGACCCTTAGACCGAAAAAGTCGGAGTGGCTTCACTGAAGCTTCGTCTCTCATTAGCCGTGACTCAAGGCTCCACACGTACTGGTTACCGCATCTTGCAGAATGGTTGGTCACGTATCCAGAGTGGGAATTGAGTATAACCTCGCAACTGTAACCGCATACCCAGAAGCTTGACTACACCCCATTACACCTCATGCTGCCGTGAAAAACAACTTGAAGGACGGCCATTCTTCATCTTGTAAGTTGAATATGGCATAGATAGACTTGGTGTTTTTCTGAGACGGTTGAGATTATGATTGCGCTAGAGAGTGCTGCACTTTTCGCACAAAATTTATCCAGATCACTCAAATCGTATCCAAATTCTCTGTGAAACATTGTTAAGTGTTTTTGGGATTCGCGGGGTTCCGATTGACTTTAGAGAAGATATACTGGAATCCTGAGCCATCTTTTCTAGTAGTGGGTTTTTAATGTACTTAAATTAATTTTTGTTCATCTTCTTTATTTTTATTTTATTTTTAAAATTTATTTTATCTCTATTTTTATTTAATTATTTAATTATTGTATTCTTTCTTTATTTTTTTGATAGTCTTTAGTTTTTGAGACTGTCCCAACTTTCTTGGATTCCATTTCATTTATTTTTATTGATATTTTGAGAACCCACTGTCACAGCACTGCTGGGCGCAGTATATTGAGCGCAGCGTTTAAGGTGAGCTTAAGTACGTTTGTGTGTATGTATATCTCTCCCGCTTGCTAAAGAATTTAGCGAACGAGTGGGGTCCGAAATGCAGTAAAAATTTGATGGACTGCTTGAGCGGGAGTTTCGGCACTACATTCAGGTTTCAACCACTGAATAAATAAACTTAATATTTTTATAGGAAAATAAAACACTTTTTATACTTTTTATTTGAGTTTTAAGAATTTTTATTTTTCCATTGGTTTCCCTATTAATAATTTTTATTGAGAACGGAAGATTTTAATTATTATTCAACCATATCGCATGGAAAAATTTAAGCAAGTACCGGCTATCATGCAGATTTGATGTATTCACAACGCAAATTTTTGTGAATTTATATACACATATACTTGGCTTTTTGTAACCGCTGAAGCGATTTTCGGACGAGCTCCTCCTCCAATTCGTGGTTTTGCGTGTTGATATTTTTTCCAACAAATGGATGGACCTACAGTTTATACTAAGCCGCCTCCGAACGCCTGATTTTTTTATAAGGAGCCTTTATTTTATGTCCGAAATACACTCGGAGGGGTTGACATTCCTTACCGAGGGGCGACTGCAAATTCGAAAATTTAACTTAATTTTTTTTTATTTCGTTTTTTAAATTAATTTTCTATAACTTTTGGGTGTTGGTCGTACCAGGATTTGAACCCAGGCCTTATGAATAATCAAACTGACAATAAGCTAGGTGACCAGTGATGCAATTCTGTAACTTTTATCGACACGATTTGTTGGACCGCAAATTTGCACATTTTGGCGCTTGCATTAACCATTATGCAATTCTCTAACACAGTTTTTGTGATAATTGACAATGGACATATCCATTTTATTAAAATGGAGGAAAGGTGGCACCACAGCTTAACAAAATGCCAAAATATGCGAAAAGCACAAAGAGGAATGACAAAAACAAATAAATTCCTTATAGCAATTGAATAGCCGAAATAAAGAAAGTAAATTACTGAAATTGAACGATTCAAATATTTTACAAATCATCTGAAGAAGAAAATCAATTGAATTCCGATGAAATGAGGTTAGGTACATTTTTTTTAAGATAAGCTCACTTCTTCACATATATTTTTAAGCAGATTCTGGCTCAAAACATCGTTATTTTCTATAAAATTAAGGTTACCAAGGGATTGGATATTTTGAAACCCGATTAATTCGGTTACGCTAATGGTCCAGTGCCTTTTTCCATCATAATTCGCGCATATTTTTAGTGCAGTAGCTGTAGAGTGCGAAAAGAGCTCAGTCGCATATTTCATCT